GGGGATGCTTTGCTTGGAATTTCAGAATCTTTTCAGATACTCTTCCTTTGCTGGTGATCTCTGGCAGCAGATGGCTAGAGCACTGACTCTTATTTTTAGGAATATATATGCTAAACCAAATTAGTCTGTTGTCTCCATTCTGGTATTTCTCAGTGACGTAAGTTTTGATTAAAAGTCTAGTAAAGTCAGTTGAAGGACTTCTAATACCAGCAGATTCTGTGTGAATATATTTGTAAACTGAAACATTTCTATCTCTTCTCCTTCTGCCCCATTCTCATACTACACAAATAACGTGAAGTAGGTTTCCATTTCATTAGTGAGAATTATTGTTGCAGATTTTGTTTACAGCCATTGTTTCACGATCTCCCAAGTAATTCTTCTTGCTGATTTTCCTCCTTGCATTAGTCCTCAACTCTCTGTACAGCCAGTCAAATAATCTGCATTATTTGCAGATTATAATCTGCATTATTTACGGTTTCAGTGCTGCTTGAAGGAAGTTACTCTGTCACTAACCATGGTAGGTTGCTCTGGGCAGGCAGCCTTCCAAGTGTCTGGAATTATATTTGACTCATGTTTTCAAGCGTGGATGAGATTCAGGATTATTAATTTATCCCTCTCAGGACCTATCTTCAGAACCTTTTTAAGCTACCATCTGTAAACGCTATAAGCAAATAATGTTTTTTACTTGTTAATATGATTTAAACACACATTTTTGATGTAAGGCATTTCACAGGTTTTCTCCTTGGACATTGTTTTCTGCACTGTTTAAACAATTCAAAACTGAAGTCTAGACACAGAGAGCAGTTTAACTCTTTATTGCTAAAGCTTAGTCGATAAATGAAAGTTACTGACTCTACATTGTCCAGACTGGCTACCTCTGGACAGCACTGGCCTATACGCATCCCCATGCTGCCTCCAGTGCCACAGGACTCTCCTCGTGCACTGCAGCATGTCCTGCGCACTGGTAGCTGCCTGCACAAAATGCAAACTTTTCCTTACACAACTCAAGACATGCCCAAACTTTGCCATGCATAAGAATGAGCATTTATAGGAAAAAAACTCAAACCTGTGGGAGGGTCACTAGCACTTCAAATTGATTTCTTCTGTTTTAATAATCACTATTGACCCTTACTGGGGGCACAATTTCCTGGGGCTGGCAGAAGTGGCCTTCTGTAGAGCAGCCAGCCTCTTCAATATGGTTCATTAACATAGTTAAAAGTCAACTTTTATGATTATCATTTCAGAAACTTTGATACCTATAAATCATTTATGATTACTGAGGAGAAGGTCATGCTTAAAAATTAAATAAGCCCTTTCACACAAAAGAATCTGTTACTACTTCATTTGTTTCAGGCAAAATGCACATTTTTTTAAACCGGATTTCTTTGAAGAGCCAGTTGACAACTGATAATTCAGTTAGATTCAATATTTTTCTAAGAAGTTACTTTACAAACACTTTTCCTGGTTTTAATCTTTTCAAACTATACTTAACTGTCTGCTTTATGAATAGTCAGTATAAGTTTATGGATCTGCTGGGCCATAAAATAAAGAAGCAGTGCCACAAAGACAAAATGCAATGCAGTGCTCCACAGCCCATACTCACATGCTTTTTAATGCCAGCACTCTCCATACTTCTTATTTTAGTACTTTGCACTTCTACTCCCTCAAATTTTCCCCCAGAGTGCTGTACTGTATGGTGCTGGTCCTTCTTCTGTTCCTTGCTTTCAGCATCTCGAATCAAAACTGCTGTGAAAGAGAGACATCAGACCTCTTGGCCAAGGGTAAATTAAGAAATTGGTGGTGAAGTTCATAACGACCAAAATAATCATAAGGGTAAGAAGAAGAGGAAAGAAGTGTTGGGGAAGATCACCAAGCATATCTGGACAAGAATCACATATGCAAATCTGCCATCTCCCACTGGGGACTGCCAGGCCTCCCTCCTTCCACTCCACTCCTTATTCCACTGCCTGGCATTTTCTGTCTCGTACAGGAAACAGAGACTAGTAATAGACTTCACTGGGAGGGGACTGCTAAGTGAAAATGAAAAGCAGATCTCATTTACACAAAATAGGATGGAAAATCACCTTACAGAAAGAATGTGAAGAGGCTAAAAATGCAGTTAAAATTCCTTTCCCCATGGAAAAGTTTTAGACAATACCAAATAACTCTCTCCGCGTGAAGGAAATATAAGCATGTAGCAGAGTGGACTTCAGGGTTTGTAGATTTATATTTCTCTTTAAAGAGTAATTACTTGTGGGTTTTATTTGTATTTTAAAATGAACAGAAAGTTCTGTTTTACAAGCCTAGCTTTTCTGTTACTGTGCTGAACAATATTAAAATAATAAAATAATAATTAAAAAATATTAAAAGCTGTTAAAACCTTTCTGAGCGATCAAATGAGACTTTGATCCCTACAGCTGAGAGGCCCTTGAGTAGGCTTAAAAGTAAGCATTTATTTTTGTGTGACTAGAGTGTGCAAAGCCTTGATAGCATAACACACTAAGCAGACAAGAGTGAGTGGATGAGGGAAACTTATGTGAAGGGGGCGCTGACATTCTACTTCAAGACGTGTAAGCATTGGCAAATGTAACAACTTTAAATCTCATTACCCCTTTCTGTAGTTTCTCTTAGTGAATTTTTTATTGTAGACAAAAGAAGTAATCTCTGTTTCCATGAAATAATGCACCTTAAATCTCAACAAGCAGTCTGTAGTTCCCCAGTTTCAGTGTGATTCTGCTTACAAGGACATATGAGGTTTGTTTCTACTTCATTGAGATCAGGATTAAATTCAATTTTTTCTCTATACATTCTTATTTGGAGAAAGCATCAAACCAAGACCACATTTCTTGAATATGGCCTATAAACGCGTGACCTATAAATGCTTATAAGTGCATAGTGTTGTATTATCAAGGCATGTGCAAAAGATTAGCTGTAAATCTGTGTTGTTCCATTAAAAATGTCCTTTTACAAGTGCTGCAAAGCACTGAGGAGTGAGGTGGGAGTGCCCTCTTGTGTTTACAGAGAAACAGTCTTAATGGTCATCCTGTTCAAAATCATAAAGTGGGGAAAATTTATCCACTCAAGCATCCGTCTCCCAGGCTGGTTGTGGGTCAGGTGTCTATGCAAACTTCATATAAAGAAAGACTTTTGCAGCATCCAAAGTGAAGTCCTGATGCAAAATCACATCTATTAAAATTAATATACTGGCACAGTAGCTAAGGTAGTTACATTTTCCTGCACCTTTGCTATTTAAAAAAAAACCAAACTTGTATATGTTTTAATATGAATACTATGAGTAAAATAATATGTATGCCTATTTTATTGTCTTACTTTATCAAAGAAAACATTCCAAGCAGTTAAAGGAGCTTCCATGTACTATCAACTTCAAAGGGAGTGCCTCTTTCTTACCCAGAGATCTGTACTTATCATATCCAGATTCAATTCCAGATACTGGAATGCAGTTTTACAACATCTATTTTGTTGTAATACTTCACACGGTACGTGATTTTAAAAAGAGCGAAGTGAGTATGTGTTGTTTTTCCTGATTCTGTAAGAAAGGCTCTTAAAGATAGCAATATTAAGAATAGTTCTGGTAAAAGTAATCAAATAGCCTTGTCTTCTCCAAGAACCAAAGGAAGCCTCTTGTTAAGGAAAGTGAAGATATATTTCCTATTTAAAAGTGGATTTGACTCTCAATTTGCCAAGGCCATATAAATATGACATAAAAGCCTCATTTTCCCTGTGCCAGTTTAATTAATGAAGTGATTACAAACGATATTAATAAACAGCCGTGATGTAAATCTATGAGAAGAACATTAAACAGTAGGTTGCTCTTCTCCCATCTTGCTACAGTACTTCCACTTCAATGCTTTCATCTCACCCGAGTCTGTTCATTTCATCTCTTAAGAGTGAGCAAAAGCCAGTAAGATAAAGAGCAACTACATAGCAATTAAATAAAACATATTATCTTCCAGAAATATGCTGTTTATATAGAATAACATAGAGGAGATTTAACAAGAGAGAAAGATGATGTTCCCAACTACTAACAAAGACTCAGATTGAAATTTCCCTCAAGTATTTTTGGGCATACTGAAATGCTGCAGTAGTTCAAGATAATAATGAGCGCTTCTGTTAAACAATAAGATAGTTACAATTATGTACTCCTAGAGACAGTACACAGAATTTCCTTTGCAAACAGACGGAAAATCAGTCAATTTAACTTAAAGTATTAATATTAATTCGTTTGATTGTCTTAATACATGTTAATACAACTTGATAGTTTCTTCAAAGTAACCAAGTGCAGAGGGTTTGAGATTTTTTCTTGTATAGTTGACAACGGTCTAGTTGACAAGGTGGTGTTAGGTCATAGGTTGGACTTGATCTCAGAGGTCTTTTCCAACCTTAATGATGCTGTGATTCCGTGAGAAACATATATTTTAAGTCTGAGAGGTGGATCTGCATCAGGTTGGTTCCTGCCCTCACTTTAAAAACTCACATAGAAATGCTCTCCGTTTCATGCAGAAAACGTGCAACGCAAAACGTGCGAACACGACCGGGATCGACAGCCAGGCTCAAGTGCCCCTTTCTCCTCTCGGCTCGGGGAACACGCCGTGCCCCGAGAGGCGGGAGGGCAGGGAAGGCGAGGCACCCACTGCCGCGCCGCCCGCACGGTCCGGGCACCCGCAGGTCATCCGACCCCTCCCCGCCAGCAAAGCGCGGCCCCGAGTCTCCTCCCCTCGTCTCGTGAGCGATGGGGCGTGGCTAGCCTCGTTCCCATCCCGCGACGTATATATAAGGCTGGCGAAGGGGGTGGTGCCTCCTTTTTCCCTGCGGAGCGTCCGCTGTGAAGCTGCGTGGTAAGGCGCTCAGGACTGCGGGGTGTGCCGCAGCCCCAGCGCGGTTGGGGGTGGGCCGCGGCTTTTTCCCTGCGCTTGGCCGTTCGGGAGGGTTGCCCGCGGCGCCGCTCGCGTAGTACTCGAGGATGGAGCTGGCAGGTGAGGCTCGGAGGCGTGCGTAGGGCTGGCCGTAATCCTGCCGCAGGGCCGCGGCCGCCCGTGCACGGCGCCCCGCGGGCAGCCCCAGGGGTGCGAGGGGACCCAGGGGCGGACTACGTGTCCCAGCACGCCCGCGGGTGACTCCCCGCCGGAAGCGCAGTCCCGCGGCGCACTGCGCGCTGGGAACGGTAGTCGCGGCGGGGACCCACCAGGCTCTGCCTGGCCCGCGCCATTTTGCTTTTCCGGTGCGGCAGGGACTGGTGCGGGGATGCAGAGCCCGGCGGTGCTCTCAGCCACCGGCCGGGGCACCCTCCCCTTTTGGGAACCTTCTAAAATGTTGGCTAGTGCAGAGGAATGAAATAAAACATGCCAGTGAGAACGAGGTAGGTGTTCGTTCCAGTAAAAGTTTCGGTCTCGTTGAACGAGGCGGAGCCGCCTTGTTCCTGTGGCACAGGGTTCGTGCACGCGTTTGTGTTGTCTGTATGTTTTGGAGGGCTCAGCCATCGGCATCGTGGGATTGTCCTACTGCAGAAGACTTCTAAAAATACTGTGAAATTCACGTATCATGCCAAGGGAAAAAAAAACAAACATAACTTTTACTTGATTTTTAATGTAAACCATAGAATTAACGTTTTAAACTAACGATGTTTCCTTTGCTTTTTAGACAATGACACAGCAGAATAAGTGGACATGTATTAGAGAACAGAGAAAAAAACCCACCTCCCCAAAAAGCTTCCTGTGGCCTTAAAAAGCCTTTTTTCCCCCTTGCAGTGCTGATCTCACTGAGCTGTGGTACTTCTGGAAACATGGGAAATACAATTAAAAAAACCAGCTATGATTCTAGGTTCTTATCTGCAAATAAAGATGAGGAGGATATGGTTGGATTCATGTAGGAAGTTGTCGGGTGCATTCATTCAGTGTTGAATTAGCTTGTCTTTATGATAGCCTGAATCACACATGAGATTACTAAAGAGTAAAATCCTCACACTCAATAACTGAAGTTTAAAGTAAAAATGTTTATTACACCCACTATGTGGAAGCTTAACTCGAGGTTTTCCATAGCTTAAATTGTTTTTGTTAACTGAATCAAAATGTGTGATGTTATCTTTCCACGATTGCTGCATTTATTTGATCTGTGTAGTGCAGAGTGAGAAACATTTTCATGGGAACGTGCATATTTTGAGTATTGTGTATGGTAAAACATACTTCGTCATGCATTTCTTCTGCTGGTTGAGTCAGTGGATTTTGATACTTGCTACCTGCTTGAAACAATTTTTTAAACCAGTGGAAATCAGTTCTTCTACTTAGAGGACTGAAATCTTGGAATGATGAATTGTCATTGAAAATGCTTTACAGTGAAGTTTAACAGCAGGTACATGCAGTTATTTCTACAATGCTTTTAATATGAGATTGAAAGGTGATATAACTCACAACTCCTTTGTTACTTAAAACTGCATTTCTTGCTGCTTTTCTTCAGCGAACTTGTTGGGTAGAGATTGTTGACAATTGTCTCATGATGTGTGACTTATTGGCCTGGTAATACGAATCTACTGATTTCAAGTTTTAAGTTTGTTCACTCTTTGTTTTTAGGTATGATGGAGAGGAGATTTTCTATTGTGTCCAGTACATTGTGCTTTAAGGTAACAGTTCTGGAGTTTTTATTATTGTTGCTCTAGAAGTAATACTGCATTTCTGTTACTGATCAAGTTAATAAATGCTTCCATTTCTTAATTGGTTTCCATATTTCTGTCTGTCAAAAGTATGGGGAGTTTTAAGTGTCGTGGGGTTGTCATCTTTGTATGGCTACTAAGTGGGACAAAAAGGAAAACCAGTACACTGTATTTTCATAGCTGCCATCAAACCGATGAGTAAATATTTGATAATTTTAAGGTTTGGTGCTCTTTGCTGAGTTAGTCAGCCCATAGGTCAGTTCTTAGTTGCATTTCTTTTGATGTGGCATTTATATTAACACGAAGACCCAGGTCACAAATGACTTGGTTAGCTTGTGCTAAATTATACTGATTGTTGAGGTGGTGTGAGTTAGCTGTCTGCCTTGGATATGTATTTGAGTTAATATACATACATGACCATATTTAAATGTAATTACTGAGGTGATGATCCTGCAAACTAACGGACAAGCAGTATTGCATTGTGAATAAATGCATGGCCACTCAAATATTTTTGAATAAAAAGCTTGAATGTCTTCGGTCTTCAGCCATTGTCATGGTTGCAAAAGAGTTCCAAACCAATTCAGGGTAACTTTTTCCTAGTGCGTAGAAAATTTCAGCTTGTCGGGTGTTAAAGACTGTTCCAGAAGAATATTGAATTTATGGAAAAGTCAATTTTTAGTGCTTGATGATCGTTTCTGACATAGTAACGTGATAGATGATGCTAGACCATAGCAAGAGATGTTTTCTAATTTAAAAGATAATTTTTTGCTTATTTTTAATTTTAGCACTTCATGGAAGCACTATCACATGTAGAAGAATACTTGTTACACCCAAGTGGATTTTCCTGAAAGCTATGTATGTTTCAAATGATTAGTGGAGATAAATTAATGATAAGTGGATTAGTGTAATATGTGCATGATCAAATTAGTAGCTGCCAAATTATTAGCTTTAAAATAATCATTAAGTCATTAGCTTTAAAATAATCATAAAAGATATCATTATATTTTAGGCATGTTTGACATGGTTTAAAACTGTGTAGGCTGGAGGAATTACGAAGTTTTTGTGTCAGAGCTGGTAAAATGCCTATCTGAAGTGTTCATGCTAAATCTGAAATATTACCTCAATATGGCTTTTAATTTGTGAATTTGCGCTTTATTGGGCGATTGATGTAAGAAAGTGTTCAGACAAAGAAGAAGGGAGCATCCAGAGACTTGTTAATGTAAATATGCGAATGTTGCAATTTTTTAATAAAAATGTATATTTGTTATTTAAAAGTATAGTTGATATTCTCACCTTTTTGAAAGAAAGGATCTATATCCGATTTAGTTTGACTCAAATGCTTACAACCAGTTGTTACAAAAGTAAAATTCAGTTGTTCTTGCTTGTGTTATAGTATTTATGAACATGTTGTAATTTATTATTTTACTCAAATTTTTAGAGTGCATGAACAGTTTCTAGTAATTGGAATGTGAGGCATCCTGAAGATTTCCTGGCAACAGGAATTACAACAGGTAGAGGTAATATTGATGCAGCAGTGGAAATTTTTGGTTTAAAGTAATGCATTCCCTTTTCAGTACATTGCACATGAAAGACATAAAGCTTATTTTGTGGAATATATGAATGTATGAGTGGTGTTATAGTTCCCAGTCACTGGTATTTAAGTGGTGTATAGTAATAAAACTGCCAAACTTGATACATTGCTGAGAAACTTCGTATGGATCTGGCTCCTGAGATGAAAGCACTTAATCTTTCAGTCACTATCCCAGTTGGTGTTACTTTTACTGCTGCCCCTGTGTACAAGTCAGGTGCCAGCATGCGCCAGGTTGTGAATAAGAATGTTGGTGCATTATTTAAACCCATCTCAGGTCCGTGTTGACATGAATATGTACTGTTTCAAATGCTTGCATCTTTAAAGAGCACGGGGAGAGGGAAGTGTTAGACCCCTGTAATTGGAGGTATCCTGCCTTACAGCAGGTAAATAAGCATTAGCCAGGTATGGTAAGTAAGTGTTGCTGCTGGTATTTGAAAGCTAGTGATGATGTTTGCACTTTGACCCTCTTAGGACTGTTTATTTAGGGCTCGCTCAGATGTGAGCAGTTAAGAAAAGCAAGTCACTTTATTGCTCTGGGGTTTGAGTATATTCACAGGTTGGTTTTAGTTAGAAAGTTAGTGTAAGAACTTCTAACTTTCCCGTCTTACTACACATCTGCAACTTTATTCCACTTGTTATTCAAGACAGGTACCTTTAAATACCTTGCTAACTACCAGCACTTTCTTTTGAAGAACAGGTTTTGTGTGAGTGAAACTTCTTGTGCAACACTGCTGCCTATAAAATGCTGTATTGTTTAGACAGGCACTATTGCAAGTAGGAAGTGGTATGACTTACATGGCTGATGTAGAGAAAAGTTGGAAGTAGCAAACCTTGCTAGTGTCGCTAACCAGTGCATTTTATGTCTTTGCTGAGATGCTTGCATGCTGCTTCTCAATTGAAGGTATGAATGCCAATAAATGTCAAAGCTTCCTAACCAAGTAAAGCTTAAAACCACTGGTATGTCTGATCAGTGAAGAACCTATCCCAAACCACATGTGAATCTGGCTTCTGAGTTTAGACTAACACTAGAACAGGTGAAGCATTTGAAGGTGCTCAGTTTCATAGTCTGTATGTACCTTGAAACTCAGCAAAACTGGTTTCAGTAATGGTAATCTTTTAAAATGCTGTTTTATAAAACTGCATTATTGTCAGCCCCATTTAAAAGAAAGAGGTGACATGTAAATTGTTGTATTAGAAATAGCATATTTGAAGTCGAGTCTTCTAATTAGTTTCTCAGGACTTAGTGTATTGATACTAATCCAACACATTGAATAATGCAGTTTGGACTGTATAAGAGCCTAAATAGGTGGCAAGTTGTAATTCTGGGTGATGGAAGAAAACTTTCCTGAACTAATAAACTTTTTTTTTTTTAACAGGAAAATGGGCCAAAATGTAGGAACTTACTTTTAGAAGCTTTTAGCTTATTCAGGTATGTAACTGAAAAGGTTCTAAATATTTTCTCATTTTAAGCCTAAAATAACTGTGCTTACAGTTCAATTTTTTTTGTATTATGACAGTTATTAATATACTTCATTGATTAATGATATGTTAAGTCATAGTTGGCATTTAAAAATACTTGTTCCCTAAAGCACAATGTGTGCTGATAGCTGTGCCTAAGCTTAGTTAGCTTTCAAACCTATGTACTTTATTACTGAAATACAGTAATGTTCCCTACTATATTTGTTTTCTGTATTGCCTTTGTCTCATCTGTGATGATCCTATCCCGAACCTGAATCCCCTGTTGAAAAACTTAATACGGATCCGGAATCTGAGACGAGACCAAAATATTTGATTTAAACTTCCAGAAAAGTATTGTACTGTCTTTGGTTTTAGTTTTGGGGGGTTTTTTAAAGAAATAGTAACAATTTATACCAAATGCTGTGTGCTTATGTGCAAATTGAAATTTCACTCTTGCTCTCTGTTTGCAGTGATGAGCTGGACACTTTGTCAGAGCTGTCTGACAAATGTGGATGATCAGTAACCAGGAAGAAGTTACACCTGAAAAGATCTGTGGCTTGGAGTGGGATGCTGTGCTTTTACATCCTGCTGAAACAGCTGCTGCAACTTTGTTTAGTAGATGCTGTTTTCAGAAACTGCATATAGACCAAAATCACTGTCTGCGTGTCTAAAATAGTGCCTTACTAAAATATTAAGCTGCCCTCTCTAGGAAGGATAGCAGCAAAATTAGCGAAATGAATGTTGAGCATTAATACATGGAAAACCCCCTGAGCAGTTACCCTTTTAAAATACTGTATTGGTTACACGTTCTGATACTGAAAATCTGCGATAACTCAGGACAACAGAGCTCACATGCGAGCCCTGTAAAGACAAGGGAGAGCAAAATGAGTACACAAATGCAAACCAGGGAGTCTGTGTTTTGAGGGTGATGTCATCCAGGAAATGGGAGAAAGTATAGAAGGTGATGGTGTTACGGAAGCATAAACCTGAAACACTTGTAAGAAAGAAAAAAATATGTCTTCAGATCGCATCATAGTTTGTATCAGTTGAGGAACCAAGGAGTTGGGTTTTTATTGACTGCCACTTAGGCATGGAAAGACTAGTACCGCAACAGTGGAACTGCTCCTTGAGGAACACACTGGCAATATTAGCTGCTTGCAGTGTGGGGAGAAGAGGTCAGTGGTGGGAAAAGAGACCACATACACTAGAACTTGTGCTTTAGACAGTCACTTGAAAAGTACCAGTGCTGTATCACAGTAGCAGCATATTTGCTGTATTTGTCAAATTGTCACTCTTACACAGAGGAATGAAGGCTCATAAATTGGTCACCAAGTAAATTGGATTTTCAAGATGACTGTGTATGACTCCATCTGCCTTAAAATGTCAAGCCTAATTGTCAGAAATGCTTTATGAAGGAAGAAACACGAGAATGGCATAATAACTAACAATTAAAAGAGCTACAGTTACTGAATCATTTTGAAATGCACCAAAATACATAAAAACAACCCTAAAGTCTGCAACCAAAAATAACAGCATTGGGTGCTAGCAGCTCTCTAGAGAAATTCCTATAACTCATGGAGTGTGCCTGTGATAAGTGACAAATACCATGTAAATCCCAATTTTCTACCTGAGCAGTATGAAGTGCAAGACACTACCAGGAACAGCACATGAACTATTGAAATTTAAAGTAAGTGTCCAATAGATTACTAAAATGTATGCTAAGGTACTGACAAAATTCCAGGTGTGTATTGCCTCACTGAGCATCTCCTATAGTTTATTATTGTTAATAAGCAGCGGCCAGCTGCTTTTCAGCAAGCAGCTGTAAATCAGTCTCTTGAATGTTGGAATCTTCAGAAATTTACTACAGAACAGCTTTCCCTTCGTCTCTTTCAACAGGCTTTATTTCTGTGTTTCTCAGAATGGTAGGTATTTCCATGTGCCATGTTTTGTACATGCTTTCCCTTGAATAAAGATGAGGATGTGAAAAACTTGCCTGTTGCCCATCAGGTGTGTATCACACCACAGTGTTCCCTGACTGCTTGTTAATTGCAAGAGCTAGGAAGGCAATGTGGCCTTGTGCTGCCTTTTGCAGCATGTACTGGACACATGATGTTCCACATAGTGTTTAAATGATGCCAGGACAACAAACTTGGTAATCCCATACTTCAGAATTGGGAAGGGACTGGTCTCCATCTGCCCACTGCAGTTCTGTGAAAAGTCTGGGTGCTGTTGGCAGCATCTGGTGAAGCTGCTTGGATGGTAAGTCTGGAGGTTGCTAGTCTGAGCTAGGTCTGTCTTATGGAGGTTGAAAAGATGCAAAGGACAGGGATGCTTAATACGACAGCAATATTTGATAAGTACTTTGTTAGATACTCAAAAGGATTTGCATGACTTCGTTGTGGGGTCAGAAGAGTGTGGTATGTGTTTTGGACTAAAGGTACCATCTTTTTATCCTTTGGGCTGATAATACAAAATGAGAAAACTTTTAAGGAGATAATGCCATGTGTACATCCAGTAAAATTAGTGTCGGTTTGTCTTGTGATGTTGGGGATCAAAGTTTCAGGATTGTGGGTGGTACTTCAGATACCCAAAACACATTTGTTGGAGATGGTCTTGGATGTAGGATTGGCAGCATTAGAAAAAGGGTGTTACTGTGCATTTCTGTGGTGAAGCCCTGTAAAGAAGCATTGTTTTAGTCATGAAAAAGATTTGCCTCACTTATCAGAAAAAGGTAGATGTGGCCAGTGATGAGGCATATTGGATATTGAGCTGCAAAACTCTGTATGAATGTTCCTGTATGGCCACAGAAAACGGGTCGTGGATGAAAAATGTGTATTAGTCTAGAAAGTCTGGTATTTGCAAACATGAACAAATGTTTTAACCATGATACTCCAGAGGTTTTGGAATGTGGGACTAGTGAAAGTGATGCAAGAAGGTCATTTTTGTAACCAGTTTTAAAATGGCAAGTAGCTTTTTTGCTTTGTGGGAGAGAGATAACGTTTGCAAACCACTTGTGGATTTAGTTCTGGTGTGGTTTTTGGAGTGATGTTTTATACAAGTGATTGAGATGGGGAGTAATTGTGAAGGGTTACTCTGATACATTTGGAACACGTGGCATGAGATTTCTCTGTGCAAAAGCACTTCATTAAACTTCAGTTTTACAAAACAGATTGTTAGATTTAAAGCTTTAACTGGAGATTTGTGCAGTAGAGTGCATGAAAGCAGTTTGCTTTTTTGTGTTTTAGTCTGGTGAAATCTTGCACTAACCGTCATTAGTGTTGAGCTTAGAAGCGTCACATGGCTGTTGGGCTGTGGTCCAAGAAATCAGTGGTTAGACAAACTTTGTTCTGGAATGTTGCCATGTATCCCTCTTAGTACCAAGGTAAAAAAGCAGTCTTTTTTTAATTGAGTGGTGGGCTTACAAGCAAAAGGAGTACCTTGCAACTGCAAGTAAGATAGAAGAGTTGACTCTGCATAAATGCTTTGCTACTATTTAATAAGGTCTTTGTTAAGGTGGGAAGTTTGTCTTGTTGAGGAACTCGTCTTGCTGGTGAAAGCTGTAGATCTATAAACAAGAGTTGCAAGTGAGTCAAACTAAGCTAGCAGTGGTTATCTTGCCACAGCACCCGCACTGCTACGTGAGTGCCAGTGCTGGTGTGATGCCTGCTTGAAGTAGTAGATCTTAGTGAACTGGAATTTCAGTGTAAGCTGTGCTGTCAGCCTGCCATTCTGCAGAGAACTGTGTGGCTGTGGCTGCAGCCATATTGTGTGCTGGTGTTGGAGTTGTCATCTGGAGCAGACAAGGTCTTAATTGTATAAGTTTGCCATATAAAGTTTGAGTACGTGTTTTGCCAGTTAAAATTCAGCACTGAAATTAAATATCAATTGGTAGAGAAAGATGCTCCTTAAGACATTTAAACATGGACACAGCAGAGTGAGCAAGTGTTTGTTTGACTTTGCCCAAGGAAAGGTATTTCAATTGAAGGGTGTTTAGCCCTGACTTTAGTAGTTTTTCTGCACGTCCCCTCCCACAGTTTAGAGGACAAAGTTTGAGTTATAATCCAAAGTATGAATGAATTTACAAATAAATGGTGATTTCAGGTGAGTGGAGCACAGATGGAGGCCTTTGTATGCTATGTAAATGCATGTGTCTGATGATTTGCATTTTCTGCTTTTTGGTGTTACAACTGGTGTTACAAGCATTTTTGCTTGTCTACCATTGTCTGTTTCCCTTGGAGGATATAAATGGGGGAAGTAAAATGATGAATTCCATTTTCTTTTGAACATCATGTGGCTTTTTAGTTGATAGTCCAGTTGAGCTATCAGGGCTATGAAGACAGTACTTCTCTGCCATTGTCTCAAACTTCCTGCAAGCTCCGGAGGACAAAGTGGTGTTTGATGCTCAGAAGAATGGCTGTATTGAGTAGGACAAAGTCTGCCTCGTTCAGTATTCTGTCTGAGGATGACCGTATAAGGAACAGGAGAAGGATAGAGAGCCTTTCCAGCAGTTTTCTTGGGAATTTCCTGAGGAGATTTTGATTTGTATTTGAATACTACTTGGCAATTATGACCTATGCCCATTTAAAAAAGATTTGAAAAATGAATGATACGTGGGCTGTAAATTAGATGAAGTAGTGGGTATGTTAGTAATTGTAGGGAGGATGAGATTGGGAGAGGGCTGAAGTAAAAGCGCTTTTTTTTTTTTCCTCTTTGAAGCTGATGTCCCTTTCAATTCTCACATTAACAGAAAAGGTGGTAAGTGGAGTTCAGCGAAGGCCCCAGTGCTAAGCCAGCTTTGCTGTTTAACTGAGGTATGTTGGAGGTGAAAATCTGAAGTACTGATGTGTGCTCATACATTCAGTACCCCGAGCTACACTTCATACCTCAGGCTTCTCACCAGAGCAGTAATAGCTGCTTTTTTTTCCCCTGAGATTGGAGTTCTCCACAGCTGAAGGAGCACTCTTCCAGCAACAGTGGTACTAGTTTTATAGTTCCAGGTGAAGAATGATTAAAATCTGTCCTAAAATGAAGTTCAGTCATTTTTTTTATTTATATGGAAAGGTGGAAAGAGATGAATGGACTGAAATAAATCAAATGCTTAGTCCTTACTTTGAAATTGGTAAATTGATTGGAAAGGTATTTTTAAACTGGCTTAAGATCATTAAAGCTGTGTGCTTCATCTTACCCTGACAAAATAGGAAATAATTTGCCCTAGATTTAGCTTGTTTTTTTTTCTATCAGAGTGAGGAATGTTGCAGATACCAGAGTCCAGAAAAAAAACATTAGAGACTTAAACTCTTTTGTATCTGTTGTGATTTAACCCCAGTTGGTAACTAAGTACCACACTGCTGCTTGCTCACCTCTGCCCTAGTAAGATGGAGAGGAGAACAGGAAAAAAGGTAAAAGCCATGGGTTGAAATAAGAGAATTGAAATGAGATACGGTAATTGTAACATTAAGGGGACAACAAAGAGAAACCCCAAGACAGACAAATGATGCATAATACGATTGCTCACCACCTGCTGACTGATGCCTAGATTGAGAAATGATCCATGACTTGTGGCCAGTTTCCCCCAGTTTATATATTGGGCATGATGTGCTATGGTATGGAATATCCCTTTGGCCAAATTGGATCAGCAGCTGTCCTAACCATGCTTCCAGCTTGTTGTGCCCCTCCTCTCTGGCAGAGCCTGAGATACTAAAAAGTCCCTGACTTTTGGTTATTGTTAAGTGGTGCTTACCCCAACATCAGTGTTATCAACACTGTTCTCATACTGAATCTAAACTACATCACTGAATCAGCTATTAAGAAGAAAACTATCCCAGCCAAAAACAGGACAGGAGAGCTACTAAAAGTGTTTTGGTTAATTTGTATGTGGTGTCAGTAAACAAGTTCACAAGGTTTATCAGCCAGTTATTTAACTAGTCATAAACTGAGAAAAGATTTTTTTAAAAAATTGACCCTGATAGATTCAAGTTTTCAAAATGAAACTTTCCTGTAACTGTTCTTACTTGCTGCTACCTTTTAGATCCAAACTTTAAAAAAAAAAACCCTGTATGTTCTTACAGGATCAAAGAGACACTTAACTTTATTTTCTGAAAGCAGATTGAAAGCCTAATGTTTCTCAACTGTTCTCTACAGATCAGAGAACAGCAATTTGTTATTTTCTAGTGCCCAGTTGCTAGGTACAATTAAAACTTTACTTCCCTAAAGAACTAAACTGTTGTTTCTAGCAGCACAATACAACTGCATTAGTTGCACCATATTAAATTACAGATTTGTTCAGATTTGAGCACAGGTTCTGTTGCCTGCATTGCCCCTTGCAAAGCAATGAAGGAATACCTGGTTACTGCTGCACAAGCTGGAAAGGATAAACTTATACATGTGCTGAAGCTCTATGTTAGGTTAAGATCAGTGTCTCTGAAGGCCCATGTGGAAGTACAGATTAGACCTTCCAAAAGATTATTGAAAAGTAGCAAGCACAGCCTGAGGTACTGATATAGTAAGAGTTCCTCATCCTTGTACTCTGGTCTGAAGTTTGTACTGTAAATGAGAATTCCCTTAGGGCAGCATTCTCCAGGTATCTTTAAAAAATTTTAAAAAACAGTTGTATACAAAAGGTGGTATTGTCTGCTCTTGGGATCTGCAGAAATGCTGCATTTTTGTAGTCACTTCTGCCTTGTACCTGGCAAAGACTGTAAATGTGTGTGTGTGGAGGGGGGTAAGATTGCTCTGTTCTTACAAGGACCTTGAAAGACACAAAGTTATTTGGGCTCATCCATGCTTGAAAGGATTTTTAGGTTGTTTGGTTACATGTTAAGTAGCCTGGAACACTTGACCTGAAAGTTGTGTATTGCAACTGCTGTATCAGGCACTTTCCTGAGTAATCAGCCGTGTCATTAGTAGTGAACTAAATAGGCCTGGGACATGAGCCCAATCCCTGGCAATTGATCATCCATGCCATTAAGGGTTAATAGTCTGACAGCTAAAGC